ATCGTACACCATATATAAAAATAAATTCAAAATGGATTAAAGACCTGAATGTAATATCTAAATTCATAAAAGTCCTAGAAGAAAAGATAGGCAGTATGTTCTTTGACATTGCTCTTAGCAATAATTTGGGGGGTCTAGTGTCCTGAGGCAAGGACAATAGAAGCAAAAATAAACAAATGGGATTGCATAAAACTGAAAAGTTTCTGTGCAGCAAAGAAAATTGTCAACAATAAAAAAAGACAAGTTACTAAATAGAAGATATTGCAAGTAACAGATTCTCTGAAGGGTTAATATCCAAAATATATTTTAAAAAACTCATGCAACTTAACACCAAAGGGGAAAAAAAAAAAGAAATTAAAAAATAGGCAGCAGACTGCACTCAAGGGGACACACAGATGGCCAATAGACATGAAAAGATGATCAACATCACTAATCATCAGGCAGATGCAAGTTAATACTTCAGTGAGATATCAACTCACACCTGTCAGAATAGCTATCATTAATAAATCAACAAATGACAAATGCTGGAAAAATGTGTAGAAAAGGGAACTCTTGTACACTGTTGGTGGGATTGTAAATTCAGTACAGAGATTTCTCAAAAAAATAAAATTAGAGCTGCCATACAATCCAGCAATTCCACTTCTGGATATTTACCCGAAGAAAACAAAAACATTAATTCAAAAAGATATCTGTACCCCTCTGTTCATTGAAACATTACTCATAGTAGCCAAAATCTGAAAACAACCTAGATGCTCCTCAATGAATGAATGGATAAAGATATGATATATATAATGGAATATTATTTAGTCATAAAAAATGAAATCTTGCTATGTGCAGCAATACTGTGGAACTAGAGGATATTATGCTAAGTGAACTAAGTCAGACAGAGAAAGACAAATGCCCTATGATCTCACTTACACATGAAATCTAAAAAAACAAAATAAATAAATACATAAAACAGAAACTGACCCTGAGATATAGAGAACAAATTGATGGCTGACAAAGGAGAGAAGGAGTGTTGGAATAAAAATATTAATAAATAAATAAATAAATACCACCCCCCACCCTAAAAAAAAAAGGAGAAAAGATTGTGCAATAAAATCCACAGGGTATATGAGAAAAATGGCACTTGGGGCAACACTCAAAAACTTGGTCACTGACACATAGAAAATGGATAGGAACATAATAAAGATGACACCACCATTTTTCACATGCTAAATGGTTAAAAAACATGATAAATGGGCAGAGGTCTTGAACAGCTTTTTTTCCAAAGAAGATAGACAGATGGGTGGCCAACAGGCACGTGAAAACATGCTCAACACCACTAATCATCAGGGAATTGCCAAAATGAGATGTCACCTGTCAGAATGATGATTATCAAAAACACGAGGGCAAACAATGTTGGTGAGGATGTAGAGAAATGTGATTTTTCATACACTGTTGGTAGAAATGGAAATGGTACAGCCACTGTGGAAAACAGCATAGAGGTTCTTCAAACAATGAAAAATACAACTACCCTATGATCCACGAATTCTTCTTGTGGGTATTTATCCAAAGAAATCCAAAACACCAATTTGAAGAGACATATGCACCCCTATGTTTATTAAAGCATTATTTAAAATAGCCAAGATATGGAAACAACCTAAATTTCCATCAATAGATGAATGGATAATCATGATGTGGGGTGTGTGTGTGTGTGTGTGTGTGTGTGTGTGTGTGTGGTGTGTGTGTGTGTGTAATATTACTTAGGCACAAATAATAAATAAATAAATAAAATAAAATATTTTTATCTGTGACAACATGTATGGACCTAAAGGGCATTAGGCTAAGTGAAATAAGTCAGACAGGGAAATACAAATACTATATTATTTCACTAAAATCTAAAATCTAAAACAGAAAACAAATGAACAAATAAAGCAAAATCTGAATAGACACATAGAGCCAGGAAACAAAATAGTAGTTACCAGGGAGGGAAGAGTTTGGGGTGGTGAAACAGGTGAAGGGAATTGAAAGGTTCAAACATTCAGTTATAAAATATGTCATGTGTGTGTAATATAAAATATAGAGAATATAGCAATGATATTATAATAACCGTGTACAGTGACAGATGGTAACTAGACTTATCAGAAGGGTCATTTTGTAATGTATATAAATATAACATCACTATGATGTACTCTTGAAATTAATAGGATATTATATGTCAGTTATACATCAATTCACACACACACACACACATACACCCACCCACCCACCCCCACACGCACACACAAACAAACCTGTCAATACGCTACTACTATAAACTAATCAGATCTGCTCTTGGTGAGAATGGAGAGAAATACTCTCATGTATGCTGGTGGTAGGATATGCCAAATTGATACAACCCTTTGGAAAGTTATCATTATTGATTAAAAATGATCATACACATACCTAATGTTCTAAGAATTTCACTTTTAGCTACATACTTAACAAAAATATCTATGAATGTTTACTCAAAGAAATAAGAATATTCAGAGTAACATTTATCTTAATAGTCTTTAAATAGAAATAAAACTCAAATGCCTATCCCGATTGGAATGGAAATAGTGATCTATTTCATACACTGTGATAATATACTGAAATGAAAACAACACCACTGCCACATGTAAGATGGATCAATCTTACAAATGGAATAGTGATCAAATAAGACAGATACAAAATAATGTATATTAATCCATTTATATAAAGTTCAAAGATGGACAAAGCTCATATATATAGTTAGAAGTCAGGAGAGAGATGCCTCTGGAGGAGAGGTAATAGGCAGTATTTGGAATAAAGCTCAGTTGGGGATTCTGAGTGCTATTAATGTTCTATAAATGTCTTGATGAAGGTGTGATGTTTTAAGGATTCAACATAACTCCTCAAGCCACTTATGATTTTTGCTCTTTTTTCCCATGCATGCATTTCTTTAATTAACATATTCTTCGCAATTCCTGTCTTCACTTTTCTTTTACATAATTTTAAGTCCCTACTTCAAAATATTCGTGTTGACTTTCATTGCTCCATCCCAACATCCTTTTTGTTTCCAACCATACTTCATCTGCAAACGCCCCTCTTTTTTATCTCACCGAGCCACTCCTAACAGCCTTTTCTAGAATTTCCTATCTCTTTCTTTCTTTAATATTATCTCTGCCTCTCCTTCAGCTTTATCATCATAGGCTCCCCAAGAGAGCTCTGTACGTCTACATTTTAAAAAATTTTTCTCAACTTCCCGTGAGGAAGGGGGGATTGTATAGCAAGAGTATAAATGTTTGTTAGAACAATTTTATAATGGATCTCTCTAAGCCTGCTATTTCACCATTTAACTCCCACATCTATCACTTCTTTGTGGTTCATTTAGATGAAACTGCTCATTCTTATCTTTGTTTGACTGAGAGTGCTGAGAGAATTTCAGTTGATAGGCACTTATTACATTTTTTAAGCGAAGGAAAGGATGCAAAATGCTGAGAGGATGACTTTACAATCAAAGGAGTGAAGAATGAGAATGACATGTAACACCTAAGTAAACAAGTGTATTTTGCTTTTAAAAAGGAAAAAAAGAAAAAGAAAATGAATATCTGAGCTACTTTCTGTATCTTCATATTGAGGATAATAGAAGGGGGAGGTGACCATTCCTTAACAGAAAAATGTGTGCAACCCAATAGATATTTTATACTCTTCAACGTCTACACCGAATTTATGAACTGGGTCTTGTTATCCCAAAATAACACTTTTGAAAACAGAGACTCAGAAAAGTTAAGTAATTTGCTCAAGATCCTATAGGAATTAAATGATGTAGCCAAGATTTGAACCTCAGACTGTGTGATTCATTCCAAAACCCATGGTCTTTCACTCTATCTTCATGCTCATTTCTGTGAAGGTTAATGAGACGTACATGTGTATGGAGGAATTCAGGGAGTGCTGATTACTTGTGTCACACTTTAAAATATGATTTTTTATTGGCTTCTCTGTATTTTGATGCTTAACATTTAATATCTAAATTAAGAAGACATTATCTTTATATCTTTTGTAATGCACACTTTCACAGTTATCTATCAAATCAGTTGGAAGTCATGGCTGGAAATTTCTAGAGAGGGCTGATAACAGTGCTAAATTTCTTTTCATTAGTTCCATTCATTAGCTTCAATAACTGAATATATTAACTAGACCTCACACATAGATTAATTCCATAATTTATTAATGTTCAGAACAAAATTTGATTGTCACCTTTTTAAGTACATGACTTGATTGCCGAATCAAATAAAACTGCTATTTAAGAATTTTAAATCAAAATTGTAACTGTTCAGTGTTGTTCCTCTCTGGTTTCTCACTTTAAGTAAACAAATATTAAATAACTTTTTTACACACAGATATAGAAAGAGACACAATTTCAAAATGGTAAACAAATTCAAGTATGACTTAGTAATACTTAAGAAAAAAATCTTGTTACAGGCAGTATCATTTCTTAAGATTCTTTGGGATAAAAATGGTTTCCTTAATATAAACTGTGCAAAACTCACCCTACTGATCAACTTCTATTCTACAATCTCTCCTTTTTCAGGTCCCTAGGATTAAGCAAAACTGAACTATATTTGGAATGACCTACAGTGTGACAAACAGTCTTAGCATGCAGCTACTATCCTAAATATTCTGTCTGCTCCCTGTTGACTAAGCAGCTCAGTTTCAGTGATACCACCTGCAGGAAGCTCACCTGTCCTGCTGACTAGAGGGAAACTTTGGGACAACAGATGCTAGTAAGGAGGTGAGAGCAGAGAAGAGACCAAAAGAAGTTTAAAGGGAGATGCCAAAAGGAAAAATAAATGATTATAGGTTTTTTGTTTTTTTTTAAATGTAAAGCATTCTCTTTTTTGTTAACTCTTTAAATAATTTTACGCAAGCAGAAAAGTTATTTCATTAGGAGTGCAGTTAACATACTTCTTGGTAGAGTGATGTCTGGGGTAAGAACGAGCAAACGACGTGTGTACCTTTGCTTGTCCTGCTTTGGTGATGACAGGTATGTTAAAGTACTGTCCAGTATAATAATGCACCGCACTGAACAAGATCACTGCAATGGAGTCTCCTTCCTTCTCAATGACTTCAAGGATATCTTCTGTTCTCCAGGTTTCTTCCCCCTGAAGGCACAGGTTAGATCACATTTACAAAAATACATTTCTCACCTCATATTTCCTGATTGAAAATTCACCATGAGCACTTTCCCACCATAAGTAAAGTCAAAGGTAAATTTTTTCAGATTAATGACCTTCTAAAATTTGACAAGAGAGCATTTGAGCATGTATTTTTATTTTATTTTTGTTACAGATGTTTCTCTTTTTTTACCCCATTGACACCCTTCTCCCCATCTCCCCTGCTTCGTCCCCAGCTTTGTTGTCCATGTCCATTGGTTATGCATAGAGAGCATGTATTTTTTAAAAAGTATTATTAAGTAATGATAATAAAATAGTAAAAAGAGTTTTATAAAGTATATATTTTTGCAGAATCTTACTTGTTTTTTTTCAACTGTTACTCTTTGCTTTCCTATCACTTGTTTCTTTCTTATTCTCGTCCAATAAAATACAAAATGTACAAGTCCATAAAATAGTACACGGCTAAAGAATTATTTTTAATTATTTTTATTAATTTGTTTTTGTTACAGATGTATCTCCTTTTTCCCCCATTGGCACCCTCCTCTCCATCCCTCTTGCCCCATCCCCAGCTTTGTTGTCTATGTCCATTGGTTATGCATACATGCATGTAAGTTCTGTGGTTTATTCCCCCCCCCCCCCCACCAACACGCCCTCTCCTGAGGTTTGTCAGTCTGTACCCTACCTCTATGTCTCTGGGTTAATTTTGTTTATCAGTTTGTTAGTTCATTATATTCCACAAATAAGTGAGATCATGTGATATTTGTCTTTCTCTGCTTGGCTTGTTTCACTTAGCATAATACTCTCCAGGTCCCTCCATGTCATCTCAAATGATAAGAAATCTTTCTTTCTTACAGCTTTATAGTATTCCACTATGTACATGTACCACAGCCCTTTTTTATCCACTCATCTACTGATGGACACTTGGGTTGTTTCCAGATCTTAGCTATTGTAAATAGTGCTGCTATGAACATAGGGGTACATATATTCTTTCTGATTGGTGTTTCAGGATTCTTAGGATATATTCCTAGAAGTGGGATCACTGGGTCAAGTGGCAGTCCAATTTTTAACTTTTTGAGGTAACACCATAGTGTTTTCCCATAGTGGCTGCACCAGTCTGCATTCCCACCAGCACTGTCCTAGAGTCCCCTTTTCTCCACACCCTCACCAACACTTGTTGTTTGATGATTTGTTGATGGCGGCCATTCTGAGAGGTGTGAGGTGATACCTCATTGTTGTTATAATTTGCATCTTTCTGATGATTAGTGATGATGAGCATTTCTTCATAGGTCTCTTGGCCATTTGTATGTCCTGTTTGGAGAGGTATCTATTTAGGTCCTGTGTCCATTTTTTTATTGGGTTCTTTGTCTTCCTTTTGTGGAGTTGTATGAGTACATATATTTTGGAAATTAATTTCTTATCTGATGCATCATTGGCAATTATGGTCTCCCATATAGTGGGTTCCCTTTCCATTTTGATGATTGTTTCTTTTGTTGTGAAGAAGCTTTTCAGTTTGATGTAGTCCATGTGTTCATTTCTTCCTTTGTTTCTCTTGCCTTAGGTGTTGTATCAGTGAAAATTCTGCTGCGTATGATGTCTGAAATTTTGTTGCCTACTTTTTCTTCAGGAATTTTTATGGATTCACAACTTACAGTTAAGTCTTTTATCCATTTTGAGTTTATTCTTGTGTATGGTGTAAGTTGGTGGTCTAACTTTATTCTTTTGCATGTTGCCGTCCAATTTTCCCAACACCATTTATTGAAGAGACTCTCTTGACTCCACTGTATGCTCTTACCACATTTGTCAAATATTAACTGAGCATATTGTCTTAGGTCAATTTCTGGGTTCTCTGTCCTGTTCCATTGATCTATGTGCTTGTTCTTATGCCAGGCTGTTTTGATTACAGTGGCTTTGTAGTATAACCTGATATCTGGTAATGTGATCCTTCTTACTTTGTTCTTTTTTTTTTTTTTTTTCAAAATTACTGTGGCTATTTGGGGTCTTTTATGGTTCCATATAAACTTTTGGAGTGTTTGTTCTAGTTCTGTGAAATATGTCATTGGTATTTTGATGGGGATTGCATTGAATCTATAGATTGCTTTGGGTAGTATGGACATTTTAATGATGTTAATTCTTCCAATCCTTGAACAAGGTATGTGCTTCCACTTTTTTATATCTTCCTCTATTTCTTTTTTCAATGACCTGTAGTTTTCTGCAAATAGGTCCTTTATTTCTTTGGTTAGGTTTATTCTTAGGTATGTTAATTTTTTTTGCTGCGACGGTAAATGGGACTGTTTTTTAGTCTCTATTTCTGTGAGTTCATCATTGGTATATAAGAATGCCATCAATTTCTTGACATTAATTTTGTATTCTACTACTTTGCCAAATTCATTTATTAAGTCTAGAAGATTTTTGATGGAGTCTTTAGGGTTTTCTATGTACAATTACATGTCACCTGCAAATAATGACAGTTTCACTTCTTCCTTTCCAATTTCGATCCCTTTTATTTTTTCTTCATGTCTGATTGCTATGGCTAAGACTTCCAGTACTATCTTGAATAAGAGTGGTGAAAGCGGGCATCCCTGTCTTTTTCCTGTTCTTAAGGGGAATGTTTTTAGTTTTTGCCTATTGAGTATGATTGGCTGTAGGTTTTTCATATATGGCTTTTATTATGTTGAGATATGATCCCTCTATTCCCACATTGCTGAGCGTTTTTATCAGAAATGGGGGCTAAATTTTGTCAAATGCTTTTTCAGCATTTATTGATATGATCATATGGTTTTTATCTTTCATTTTGTTTATGTGGTATATCACATTTATTGATTTGCAAATATTGTAACATCCTTGCATCCTTGGGATGAATTCCATTTGGTCATGGCGAATAATTTTTTTGATGTATCATTGGATCTGATTTGCTAATATTTTCTTAAGGATTTTGGCATCTATGTTCATCAGGGATATTGGCCTTTGGTTTTCTTTCTTTGTAGTGTCTTTATCTGGCTTTGGAATTAGAATTATGCTGGCCTTATAAGTTTGGAAGTGTTCCATTTTCTTGGATTTTTTTGGAATAATTTGAGGAGAATGGGTATTAGCTTTTCTTTAAATGTTCGGTAATTCTCCACCGTGAAGCCATCTGGGCCTGGGCTTTGTTTGCTGGAAGTTTCTTAATTACATCTTCAGTTTCTTTGTTGTTATTGGTCTGTTCAAGTTTTCTATCTCTTCCTGGTTCAGTTTTGGGAGGCTGTGTGTTTCTAGATTGTTCAATTTGTTGGCGTATAATTGTTCATAGTATGTTTCAATGATCTTTTGTATTTCTGTGGTGTCAGTTGTTACTTCTCCTCTTTTATTTCTGATTTTGTTTATTTGGTTTCTCTCTTTTTGTTTCTTGGTGAGTCTGGCTAAAGGCCCATCGATCTTGTTTGTCTTTTCAAAGAACCAGCTTTTTGTTTCATTGATCTTTTCAATTGTTATTTTGGTCTTTAGGTCATCTATTTCTGCTCTGACCTTTACTATTTCCTTCCTCCTACTAGCTCTTGGTTTTTCTTTTTGTTTACTGTCAAGTTCTTTAAGTTTTAGGGTTAGAAAGTTAACTAGAAATTTTTCTTGTTTATTGTGTGTGTGTGTGTGTGTGTGTGTGTGTGTGTGTGTGTGTTACGTGCCCCTAGCGGGAACCAAACCTGGAAGTCTCTGTTCCACAGGCTGATGCTCAACCGCTGAGCCAAACTGATGCTCAACCGCTGAGCCAAACTGGACAGGGCTTTTTCTTGTTTCTTGAGGTAGGTCTGCAGTGCTATAAACTTTCCTCTCAAGACTGCTTTCGCTGTGTCCCATAGATTTTGTGTTGTTGCGTGTTAGTTTTCATTGGTTTCCAGGAAGTTTTTAATTTCTTCTTTGATCTCATTAGTAACCCTTTTGTTGTTTATAACATGCTATTCAGCTTCTAAGTGTTGGAATATTTTTGTGTGTTTTTATTGTAATTGAGTTCTAGTTTCATGCTACTGTGATCTGAAATGATGCTTGATATGATTTTAATCTTCTTGAATTTGTAGAGGGTTGCTTTGTGTCCTAACATGTGGTCTATCTTTGAGAATATTTCATGTGGACTTGAGATGAATGTATACTCTGCAGCTTTGGGGTGAAATGTTCTTTAATTATCAATGAAGTCCAACTGATCTAGTTCATCTTGTAAGGACTCTATGTTCTTGTTAATTTTTTGTCTAGAAGCTCTATCCAATGGTGTCAGTGGCATGTTAAAGTCAGCCACTATGATTGTATTGCTATTGATCTCTCCCTTGAAGTCCTCCAGAAGTTTTTTAATATATTTTGGTGCTCCCGTATTTAGTGCGTATATGTTTACCAGGGTTGTATTCTCTTGTTGGATTGATCCTTTTAATATTATGTAGTGACCTTCTCTGTCTCTTATTATGGCCCTTGTTTTGAAGTCTATCTTGTCAGATATGAGTATTGTTACACCAGCTTTTTTTATTTCCATTTGATTGAAAATTTTTTTCCCATTTCTTCACTTTAATCCTGTGTGAGTCTTTTGTTGTGAGGTGGGTCTTTTGTAGACAGTATATATATGGGTGTTTTCTTATCCAATCAGCTACCCTATGCTTTTTGATTGGAGCATTTAAGACATTTAAATTTAAAGTAATTATTGATAGACAGTTATTAGTTGCCATTTTAATTTTATGCCTGTGTTCCTTTCTCTCTCTCTCTCTCTCTCTCTCTCTCTCTCTCTCTCTTTCTTCTTCTTCTTGCAACACTCCCTTCAGCATTTCTTGCAGTGCTGGTTTGGTGGTGGTAAATTCCTTTAGCCTTTTTTTTTTTTTTTTAAATCCATGAAGCTCTTTATTTCTTCTTCAATTTTGAATGATAGCCTTGCTGGATAGAGTAGTCTTGGATTCAGACCCTTGCGTTGCATTACTTTGTACACTTCATGCCACTCCCTTCTGGGCTGTAGCATTTCTATTGGGAAATCAGCTGAAAGTCTAATGGAAGCTCCCTTGTAGGTAACTTTCTATCTCTCTCTTGCTTCCTTTAAGGTTCTTTCTTAGTCTTTAATGTTTGTCATTTTTATTATGATGTGTCTAGCTGTGGGTCTTCTGGGATTCATCTTGCTTGGAACTCTCTGTGTTTCCTGGACTTGTGTGACTTTTTCTTTCACCAGTTTAGGGAAGTTTTCTGTCATTATTTCTTCAAACAGGTTCTCTATTCCTTTCTCTGATTCTTCTCCTTCTGGTACCCCTATAATGCGAATGTTGTTACATTTGTTATCACATTTTGTATTGTCCCAAAGCTCCCTTAAACTCTCCTTCTGCTTTTTAAACTTTCTTTCCATTTGCTGCTCTATTTGGGTGTTTTTCTCTACCTTGTTTTCTAAGTCGCTGATTCGGTCTTCAGTTTCTTCTAATCTACTATTGAAGGTATTTTTTATAACAGCTATGTCATTCTTTATTTCCTTTTGTTTTTATGCATAGCTTCTACCTCTTTATGTGTAGCATCTACCTCTTTTTTCAAGCTGAAGTAGTTCCCAGTGAGCTCTTCATAATTCTTATTAAGTTGCTTGTAGTTCTCACCAAATTGTTTGAGCGCCCTTAAAATCATTGCTTTGAATTCTTTGTCTGACAGGTTGCTTTCTTCCATTTCCTATAGTCCCTTTTCTGGTGATTTCTCTTTTTCTTCCCTTTGGGTATTGTTTCTTTGTCTCCCCATTTTAGCTGTCTGCTAGCTCTAGACCCGGTGAGGGATGTTTGGATTTGTAGGCAGATCACTGTGTATCAAATAAGGCTACTGTGACTCCCAGACTGTTCTGTTGTGTGTCACCTCTTGCCTGCTGTGGATCCTGGAGGATTGACTACTTCGGGCTGGTATTGGTGTGTCTTGGTAGGTGTGTCCTGGATTGCATGAGCCCATTTGAAGCTGTGTTCCCTGCTGGTTGCTGGTGTCACCTGTAGCTGTATTGCTCAGGCCCTACTGGAGCTGCATTCCCTGCCCACACCTTGGGCTGCTGGGTCACACAGACCCCTATAGATTTCTGGCTCATCATTGCTCTTGTGGGCAACTGTGTTGCACAGGCCCTGATGGAGCCCTAGGTCCCACCGCTGAGAGCTGGGGATTGCTGCTGCCCAGTGGGGCTCAGCTCCTGCTCAAGCTTTACTGTAGTTTGGAGGGATGGTTCTCTCCTGCTGGTCTGTGCTTCTATTGCCAGGGGATGGATGTCTGTTCCCCTGCCTCTGTTGCTGGGGGTATATCTGGACTCTGGTCAGGCTGCCTCTGTAGGGGATGGTGCTGGACTCCCGGCCATTTGCTGCTTCTGCAACCAGCACCTTAGCATCTCCAGTACTGTGCACTGGTCTGTGTTGACCCAGGGTGTCCACTGGTCCGATGGTGCCAGGTGCACTGGTGGCTCAGGTTGCTGGGTCCTAGCCGCTCCCACTGCCTCCTCCCAGAGAAGACCCAGGGTCTTCCAAAATGGTGGGACCTCCCCTCAGCATAGGGAGACGTGCCCTGAAGAGCCGCTTAGCCGGCTGCTCCCGTACAGAGCACAGGAAGCTTGTGCTTCGCAACTCTGCACTGCTTGGGTTTGGTTGTCCACCTTCACGTCCACTCACACTCTCTCACACACTCACCCTCCCTCTGGTATTGCCACCACCATCATTTCTCTAAAGAAATTTCTTTGAAGTAATATTTCGCTTATCAATCTAATATGTTCACTTTTTGTTTGTTTTTGTTTTTCAGAATAAAAACACTTATGCATATTTCATCTGACTATACCCTAACCAGCCTCTTCTGTTAAGTGTTACATCTCCTCCACACCAATCTAAAGAAAGACCCAAAGATGAATAAAGTATCAAGGAAACTCAATTATTAAGGTAATTTTTCTGCACATCTCCCCACCTAAGATTAATGGTTGGTTACTTAGTGCAAATATTGAATGAAATCCAATTTGGTCTTGTAAACAACTTGAATAAAAAGAAATATGTTAAATACAAAGTATCAACTTGTAGCATAACAATTTTTATCTGTTTATGTAATCTTTAAGAATGTTCTCCAATGCTAAATCTCATATAATTTTGAGGTCAAAGCATCACTAACTGTATTAATATTTGAGAGAAATTCATTAAAGTATTCATAAGTTTTCCTTCAGTTATTTTTAATTTTTTGTAAATCTAGCCATTTGTTAATTACCGCATCTCATGTTAGGCATATAGCATATATATCAAAAATATAACACGTACTCTAGTTACTACTAGAAACTTAGAATTTATTTACAAAATAGGAATAATCTATAAAAATAGTATTGATATTGAAATCTGAATTATTAAGTGATGCATACTCTACATATAAAAAGGATTTCAATAATTCTGAGAAAAAATATAAGTAAAGTGAATAACAATAATCTAAAACATCTTTTTCTTAAAGAAATCTTACATGGTTTGTCCACCATAATATCAAAAAGGCCTGGGAAAGTATCTATATAGTAATATTTGTTGTTTATTTTAAGAATCAGTATTAAGCAAATAAATATATTAGTTACAAATAGAATGTGGCAGTGATTTTCAACTGATGCTCACAGCACACTGGTGTGGTGCAAGAACTTTTAAAACAAGCAAAATCTGACTACTTAGTCAGGCCCACTGACTTCTTTTGCCTTAGATTGTCAAATTAAAATATAACAACCGCCAACACAAACAATAGCTGTCCGGTGTAAACAAATAAAAATTAATACTTATTGTTTAGTCAGGCAAAAAAATGTCTTTTGGTATGCCTCAGGATTTTAGTAGTTGGTTTATGTGTCCATGAGATGAAAAAGACTGAAAATTGCTCGGATATGATTGTTTCTCCAGTTAACTTGCACTCATGCTAAAGAGTGCTCCCAAGATTATGATGACCTCATGAGGCTTCATAGCACTTGTCACTTTAAACATTAATACTTGTGATATATTAGTGGCTATATTCATTTTTGTTGGAAACTAGCTATTTATACATGACCTATAAAAAAAATCTTCTCATAGCCCAGTCAATGTGGCTCAGTGGTTGAGCTTCAACCCATGTACCAAGAGGTCACTGGTTTGATTCCCAGTCAGGACACATTCACTGATCCCCAGTGCGGGGCATTCAGGAGGCCGTCAATCGATGTTCTCTCTCATCGATGTTTCTGTCTCTCTCTCCCTCTCCCTTCCTCTCTCTAAAAATCAATAAAAAAAATACCCTCTCCCATGCATGGGAACTTTTATGTTATTGATTTATTACATGTTGGCAAAGAAAAGTGAATGAAGTAGATTTTAATTCCACAAAGTATTCTCTGCAGAAAGAAAGAATTGCTCAAACATTGAGCAGTCTGGCAGCATCATTTGTGAAACCTAAAATGTATTCTGTGTGAATTTTCACAAGCTGCAGTGTTTGTATGTCAAAGTTTCTGTAGCTTAGCCTTATATATCCATTAACATTAAGTGTGCAGTATTTCAGATCTTCAACAGATGGTCAAGTCTGATTAGGTGTTTCCTTTGTCACCTGCTTATATATGAAGGAATCTCAGGGAGATAAAGTAACTTTGCCAAGGCCCCTCACCCAGTAAGTTGGCGGGTCTGGGATTTCTCAGGGGTAGATTGGCCATTTAAGAAGCCTGAGCTTTTTCTCTGTTTTTTTTTTTTTTTTTTTTTTTTTTTTATCCTCACCTGAGGACATTTTTCCATTTTTTGTTCAGACAGAGCGGGAGAGAGAGGAAGAGAGAGGCAGAGAGAAACATCGATATGAAAGGGACACATCGAGAGGCTGCCACCCACACGACCCAACCAAACTGCAACCGAGGTACTTGTCTTTAGCGGGGAACCGAACCAGGGTCTCTCTGGATCACAGGCCAATGCTCTAACTGCTGAGCCAAACCAGCCAGGGCGAAGCTTGAGCTTTTTCTACCACACCATGTCCCTTTCTGCAACCTTAGTCCAACCTCAAAAGGAAACATTTGATACTTAAATTAAGAAGAGACACAAAAGATAGGTATCATTCAGTTCCAACAAATATCGCTAGTTTTTAATATGATAATGGCATTTGAAATTCAAAATGATATATGCAATTTGCTATTTTCTCCCATCCCACTGAAGAATATGGCAGACGCCAGTGTTATTAATAGTAAAACAATTTGCTTGTAATACGACTAGCCCTTGAAAAATAAAAATAAACATACCTCTGAGTTAATTTTCCATTTTAAGCAAAATGACCTAACTCTTACAGAAGTATAGGTATTTTATACTTTCTTGAAAGTTCATTAAAGTAATAAAGGTAATAAACATATGAAGAAAATAAAGAAAAAAATCAATGCTAAATAGAAGCACAATGCATATTTATTTCTCTTTCTCATGTACCTCTCTTGGCTTTATAATCCGCATACTTTTCTCAATGTCAAGTCCGTGAAGTCGAAGCTGTGATTCAATAGCATACTGAAAAGACAGATAATATATTAAATCAAGTCCAGTGCACAAAAATACTTTGAAATATCTCTGAATATAAATAATAAGCCCTGACCAGTGTCTTAGTTAGTTGGCTATTGTCCCATGCACCAAAAATGTTGCTGGTTCAATCCCTGGTCAGAGCACATGCCTGGGTTGCATACAGGGTATGCAGGAGGCAGCCAATCAATATTTCACTCTCACATTAATGTTTCTATCTCCCTCACTCTCTCATTAAAAAAAAAAAGAGAAATCAATAACAATATTTTGAAATAAATAATAAAATAATAAAAGTATATTATTATATTACATTCAAGGTCAAGGTTAAAAGTGACTAAACACAATACATAAGAGAAGAATTACTTAGTATTATTTACATGCAGGAACTGGAACATTTCTCAAAACACTAAATCATAGAGATAAATGGAAACAAAGGAGTGAATTAGACTTCAAGGAGTTATAAGAGATTTTTAGAATAAGATAGTAAATCACCTATGCAAAATATACGAAATTACTACAGTGAGTAGTGTGGACTTGCTAGTCTTGAAAAAAGAATATACAAACAGCTCACCCTGCAGAAAGAAAGTTATTAAAAGGTAAGAACATCAAAAAGCTCCCTTCAGTGAGTCTACAAGATCTGAACAGGTTGCGATTATTGTGACCCTGAACATTTCAAGATACAGTATTAATTAACGTTTGATCCTTTTTAGTATGGTAATGGCTACTAATATGGACATAATTAAATGACTTAAAAGTATAAGATATGGGCTAGAATAGTTAATAGTGATAATATAAAGACAAAACTTGAGTTTCTCTAACACTAAAACTGCAATGTGCAATATATTTTATCTGTGTGTATGTGTCTGGAACAATCTAACTTCTTAGCAACTGAATCACTGATAAAGTAGCATGTTTTTTTAAAATGATCTACAGAAATTTTAAAATTTCTAATAATTTTTCATACTTATTCTAGCAGCTATAAAAATAGACAAATAAAAATTTATATTACTATTCTATGTAGCTAAAGGGTTAAGCACTGGCATATGTATTGATCTGATTTTATAAAATAAAAAAGCAACAAGAATTAACAAAACATTTATAACTGCACTTGATTTAGACTAGCAGTTTGCTAAATGTCACCAAAAAAAGACTATCAAATCAATATTCCTGTTCAATTCTTTCCTCCCTTAGTACATGTTTTACTTGAACAAATGAAATAAAGCTACAATTTATTTTTAAAAATGCCTAAATCAAAAGCATTTGGCAGATATTTTATTCTGAGGTTACTTGGAAAAGACTAGTGAATAAACATTCAAGTCAGGCAAATGATATGTCCCTCTAGGGAGAACAAACAGAATATAAATAAAATGTGAAGATTCCTTACATGGTCTGAAGGGAAGGCTCTGGCTTCTAGAAGAATTTTGTACCGTTTTGGTGTGGGCTTAAAAAACGATAACTGCAATGAAATGGATTTATTGAGAAAAGCATTAATGAACAATTATTTATACATTTGTTTATTTTGTACCACACTTTCATTTTATAATCTCCAGCATTTTAAAAGTATGAATTAGTTACTCATCTAGGTGTCTGTGTAGGGTCCCTTCCAATTAGCCTTGTTTCCAGTGAATTATGAAGAGAAATAAGAGACTAGCTCATTATGTTTACCAATGGAGAGGCAACTTCAGGAGAAAATGTGAATCAGAAAATATAAATCCTCAAACTTGACTTAAATTTCAACTGAAAAATTATCTTCGAATGCTTTTAATGCTAATTTCTCTATTGTGAGACTGAAATCTCAGTCTTATTTATATTGATTTCTCTGTCACTGCCGATTTGGTTTCTAGTACATAATGTTTCCACTGCTTTATTATTTATGGGATTTTATTTTAGGTCCGACTAAAAAGACCTCCAGCCCTCACAGGAAACAGTTCACGTTTCTGGAGGCTCCAGGGAGAAGTGGCGTGTTCATTGGGTGGGCCTTTCTTTTCATCCTCACAGTTTCTGGAGAACGAGACCGACAATAAAAGCAATAAAAATCATCTCTGCTGTTAATTACATGTTGATCACTTGCATGGGGGCTAAAGCAATTTTCACCAACTATCACATTTCATACTTATTCATGCACACCTACAAGGGAGGTATTATTATCTTCGCTTTTACAAAGAAGAAAATAAAGATTTAAACATGCCAAAAGTCTGTCCAAATTTAAACAGGCATTAAGTATCTTAGCTGGTAGTCAAACCCAGGGATGTCAGAACTTAAAACTATGCTTATTACTATGATACTTAACATATTTCATAAACATGTTTCTTCAGTTATATTTAATACTCATTTTTTTCATTTTACAAAATGAAATATTAATATGTTTGTTGTGTATCTTGGTCTTGTAGACATGATTACAAAAAATTACTTAAAAATGAAATAACTTCAAAGCATCAAGTGGGTACTATAGACCACCATATTTCAGATCAAGAATGCATTTGGCATTTATTAAATACTTAGGATGTAAGAAGCACTTTAAACAGTATCTCTTTTCAGGTACTAGGTCCCTTTTCTCTAATTTAGTTTTATTTTCAAATTCTTTTTTAACCTACTTCCAAAAATTAGTCTTCAAATACCTTCTAATCCATAATCTCTCCTGCTAATGTCCAGCATGTTAAAAAAAAAGTCTTTCCATAAAGCTCGTGTTTGCTAGCATTTGTATATCTTTGTTTTGTGCGCTTGCAAGCAGCCTTGCTTTTCACCCACTGACGTGTATTCCTTATGTTCACAGAGAAGAGCTGTTCAGATTCTAAAGCTCTTTGCAAGAGTCAACTCTCCCATGAGTATGAAGAAGCCATTCTACCATGGCCCAGCATTTCCTGCGAAAATTGAAAATAACCTCACAACGTATGTTTAAGTAAGTAAACCACCAGATGCTCATGAATTAAAGATAGAGAAATGTCAGATTCTGTAAATGAACGTAGACTGAACATTGGTGGGAAAGGAAACTTACCAGTAGAAGATGTAAATTAACACTCAAACCGTTCATTAGGACTATTTCTTTCTCATTGGCTCCTGCAAAGGAAACATGTCGTATTTAAAATTTTTCTGGTAGTGCTAAAGATACTTGGGAAAACGAAGTAAGAAGGCTTCACTCCTTCATCCTTAATGTTTTTAGAGATAAGGGCATATTTGATGTGTCATCACAAAGAAATGGAAGTTGTCCTGCTTGACTCATTTTATCAAACAATATCTGGACTTACAAGCACACAGAGAGCTAAAAATTATGGTTTATTTTGATATAATAAACAATAACAACAAACTAATGAAGCTCCTGCTTTTTCCTATGACCTAAAAATGATTTATTCTATTATCAGCTAGTTTGTCAAATTCCCACAGAGTATGTTTTTGTGGTAAGTGTACCTCCAAAAGATATCTTCGAAGAAATGAAAGCACACCACATTTTTAAAGCTGGTTGTTTCTAATGTCAAATTAAAATGCACCTTTCATAAATGACGGCTACTTTGCCAAATGTAATTCACTGTTGTTCCAGTAAGATATGTGATAGTCAAGACAAAAGAGAAAGAAAGTAAAATACAAATATCTAAATAGCTCCGGGGCTTATTCATACACACTGATAAAAGGCAATTAATATAGACATGTATTATCTGATGGGGAAAACATGAAAATCTAAGATATTCACTACACAACTGTAATCTGATCTAATTGCTATTGCTGAGGGTTTAAGCACTAGAAACAAACCCAGACACAAAGCAAACATTGGATACTTAACTCAGAGCATAATAATAATCATGATGATACTTTCCCTATTTTTAGTTCTTATTATGTCTCTTAAAGGTAATCATATTTTTGTAATCAGAATAATGTCTCTTTACCATCACTGAGAAAAATGGTCTATGAGATTTAATGCTTAAAAGACTATACTAAATATTTTTTTTAAATGTATAATACAACTCCTTCATTTTGTATTCAGAGAGATACTTCTGCTAGTGTTTCAATGCAATAGAATAGACGGTAAATGGAATACTCTAATTAACAGATAGATTCCAGCATTGGTTCACTTGAGGGGAGGTCACTAGAAATAATTGTACAACTTAGGCATTTATATTTCAGCATAGCCGTTAAAAGAAGGGCCCATCTTCATATAGTAAAAAAAAAAAATTAACAAAACAAAACAAAACAAAAAAACAAAACCTTTTGCCCTGAGCAGTGTGGCTCAGTTGGTTGGGAGTCTTTCCATGTACCAAGAGGTTGCTGGTTTGATTCCCACGCAGGCTATAGGCTCAATCCCCAGAAGGGAGCGTGCAGGAGGCAGCCGATCCATGTTCTATTCTCACATGGATATTTCTTGTTCTCCCTCTCTCTTCCTCTTTCTCTAAAAATCAATAAAAATTATTTTTAATATAAAAAAACAAAAACCTTTGCCCTGGCCGGTTTGGCTCAGCGGTTAGAGCGTCGGCCTGCAGTCCCGAGAGACCCAGGTTCGGTTCCCGCTAAGGGCATGTACCTCGGTTGCAGTTTGTCCCCGGCTCTGGTCGGTCGGTCGTGTGGGTGGCAGCCACTCGATGTGTCCCTTCACGTCGATGTTTCTCTTTCTCTGTTCCTCTCTCCCCCTCCTACTCTACCTGAACAAAAAATGGAAAAATGTCCTCGGGTGAGGATAAACAAACAAACAAACAAACAAACAAAAAAACCAAAAACCTTCTTGTTGCATTTGGCAAATAGATTACTCAATTTGATAGGCAAGGTTGGTAAACAAGTGGTAGGTATAAGCCTGGTCACTGTAAGTGTATAATGTCTGAAGTTAAGGGGCAACAGAAACAATCTTATTCTACATTCCAAGCACTAAATAAAGTTTTTCTTAAACGTACTACATAGTTATGAATATGATATGCTTATATTGTATACAGTGGCATAAATCTATCATATGAAAATCCTTTTTAAATATGGTGAAATAAATTATGCCAGCTTTACTCTATTTGTTTCTTTGTATGATGGTATAAATGTTTACTTTTATTTATAAAACAAAACATTATCTAAGATATGTAATCTGATATTATGCTTAACTCCCTGTTAGCTATTTACATGCAACTTTTCTGAAAACCATTTATTTCAGTAAAAAATATTTTGTCAGGGAGAGTGGAAAGAAGAAAGGAAGGAGAAGTAATACACAGAGACAACAGAATAGAAAGGGAAGTATCAGAAAGAATGCACTGTAGTGAGGGTCAGAAAACACACACAAGAAAGAAAACATTATCACAAAATAAAAATGGAGACATAGAAGAATCAGAATGGAGAAGGGGACAATTTCTATAGAAGCTCAGACAGTTCATCTTTGTTTAATGATTACATTCTAATTAAAATGATTATTGATTCCTGGAAAATTTAATCTTCCAAACAATGCAGCGTTCATTTCTAATCATCTAAACTTCTGCTTGCGTGGGAATGTGATGGACCAGATGTTCTAATCCAGACATGCACTTGGCATTGTGCTTTCTTCCCCTCACATTCAATGACATACTAACATGGAATCATTCTTTATAAAGAATCTCTCACTGACTCAATTAATTTGTCTGCCCACATGCATGAAAATTATTATTCTTTGAAACATTTTAAAGTAAATCCAACCATGTGCTTCATAAAATGCTCTGATCTGCTGGTGAAGTTTATCAAGGACAAGGACAGTCTCACATACATACATGTCCACACATGTATATCTGAAGGTGGTGGTCTAACATCCATACATGTGCACACGTATATCTGAGGGTGGTGTTAATATTAAAATTTCAGAACACTAGCAGAAATGTTTATTTCAAGTATAACCTAAAGGCACTAAAGAATGAAGTGTTCTTTAAAAGGTCACAAATGATTTTGGTGTATTTTAAAAAGAAAAGTTACCTAATTGACATATCATATATATATTTTTGTTGTTTGTTTTTAACCCTCACCCGAGGATATTTTTGCACTTATCTTCAGATAGAGTGGAAGGGAGAGAGGGAGGAAGAGAGAGAGAAACAAGGATGTGAGAGAGACACATTGACTGGTTGCCACCCACACGACCCCAAATGCAGTTGGGGACAAACTGCAACTGAGGTGCGTGCCCTTAGCAGGAACTGAACCGAGGTCTCACTGGTCCGCAGGTCCATTCCATGCTCTAACCACTGAGCAAGGGCATATATATATATATATATATATATATATATATATATTTGTTGATTTGAGAGAGAGAGAGGAAGGGAGAGGGAGAGAGAGAAACATAGATGAGAGAGAAACATTAATTCGCTGCCTCCTGCACACCTCTTAACCCCAGCATGTGCCCTGACTAGGAATTGAACCCACGACCTCTCAGTGCACGGGACAATGCCCAAAGAACTGAGCCACACCAGCTGATTGATATATCTTTTTTAGTTCAAATTGTATTTCTGAAACCACTATTGTTCTTCAAATATATTCAAATATCAGCATTCCATAAGAAAATAAACCTCTAAAAACAAACAAACAAACAAACAGACAAAAACACACATTCTTTCAAGTTGTTTTTCTTTGTTTCTCCTCTTTTGAATAAGAGCTTTTCAAAAATGTTAGCATTGCACTGGCCAATGTGGCTCAGTTGGTTGGAGTATTGTTCTGTACTCCATAAGGTTATGGGTTCAATTCCCATAGACCCAGGTTGTGGGTTCGATCCCCTGCCAGGGATCAGGAACTACAACTATTGGAGGAAATTCTTCTATAAAGCTTCCCAAAAGCTTATCAGGCTTTGAAAAAGTCTTTGAAGATCATCTATAGCTCACTACAGTAAATGTCAAGACTTGAATCACTTCATCTCAGATGGGTGTGACCCAGAGATCTCATTTGAAAAATGATTTCCTGCTTGTTTATTTACTGCACATAATTTTTTGCTTTACCAGGAGGTGAAACCTAGTTAAATGCAAGCTCTACCTTCTTATCTCTATGCCTGGCAAGCTAAGGTTTATTAAGCCCATACTCTGTGCCAACACTTCAAAATATGTGACACGTATTATCTCACATCAACTTTACAATAATCTGATAAGGTATCCATACTTTGATGTCCATACCTTATCAATGAGGAAACAACTTGCCTAAAGTCTCACAGATAGGAAATGGAAGACAAAACTTACCCCCCACACACATACAAACAAGTAATTAAAGTCTTTGTTCATGATTACATTTGGAAGAGTTGCCCACATTATCTGCTCCCTGCCAATCAAACATAGGAGGCCCATGCTCATCACAAATTTCCTCTGTGTTTTTCTAATTGTAATTTACTTTAAAATGTTTTGCAAAATGAGGATGACAGGGCTCTCCATTTCTGAACGTTTGATAACAGGATTCATGATGGGTCTTGCAACATCTGCCCTTTTCTGGATATTTTATTAAGCAGATGCAAATATTATTGTGGATCTGGCTGTAAGGGTTGCAGGTGAGCGAAGTTGGAGAACTTTCCAGTCTATTTCTCAAGTAGTGAATTCCTTTGGCCTCTAGAGGTGGTTGGTGCATGGCTGAGCATTGGAACTGTTTGAAGAGAGCTTCCAGGGACTACCGCTTGGCTGAGAGTCCACCAAAATTTCATTAAGTAAATTTATGTACACATTACAACAGTTTTATAAGCTCAAATGCTTGTATCTAGCCCTTTGGAAGGGCTAGGCTTAATAATAATACTAATAATATTCTTGAGCAATTCTATTTCTAGCATCTTGATAATATGATATTAATTATAAGAGAAAGTTATTTCATGTTTTGCAGAAGTGTTGGTTCTATATAAAACTGTTTATTAATAGTTTTTCTCATCTAAAATTGATATTCCTTTCTATGTCTATGAATAAATATCATTGTTCATTGTCTCTTCCTCCTCTCTATCCACTCCATCAATTTGTACAACAGCATAATTTTTTATTATCCTCCTGCTACTTCTTTTTGAGATATTTATGATGAAATAAAGGCCGTGGTTTTAATAACCGTGAAGCGTCAATCACAGCCCAAAATATACAGCTTGGCTGTCTGCTCAGACACACTAAGTAGCCTAGGAAGTAGCACAAGTAAATTTGACTTCTGCTGCTCTTTACTGTAACTACTACACAGTTATTTGAAATATTTTGTTATGTGTACCAGCTCTCTTTCCAACCAGGATTCCAGATTTCTAGTATGACAATGTGAGAGAAATTGATAAGAAGTAGACATAGAGTACAATACATGCAGATAAAACACACATTAGAAGCCATTCAATGCTTTTGTTCCTCCAAACTTGATCAAATTTTCTCAGAACTTTCTAGTAACCGAAGCAAAAATAGAACCTGCAGGGGATTTGCAATATGAGAAACACACAGCAAACTCGATAAACTCACACAAACACCTTCTGAAGAATGTGTTTCTACTAAAGCAGAGTGAGCTCATTCATTTTCAGCTTGACTCCGGAACCATTTCTCTGACTAATATACACACTTATAAAAATAAAGAAAATTTGGGTGCAACAGTTCCTAGAATTTAAAAGAAAATACCAAGCTTTTAAAATATTGTTTATAATACACTGTTGCAAACACTGTCAGTTTTTATTCCTCTGGTCAGCAACAGAAGAAAACAAAACAAACAATAAAATAATAATTAAAATAAAGGTTACTTTCATTCACTGACAATATTTCAAATGAAATATGACACACAGAAAATTAAGAGAAGCTTATCTTGCATGTATTGTAACTCAGTATGGTGTTTCAAAGACAAACAAAACATCCTAAAACTAGAGTTAATAAATATATATATATATTTTTTTTAATTAAATAAGTTCACACTCTTTACCATTCTAAACAAATCTGGGTATATCTATATATAAGATATATATTTTCATTTTCCTAAAAAATATTAATGAGAGGTGGCTGATTTGAAATTTCAGGGTTTGTTGTGACATCTTTATTTACTGGGCAACAACAACAACAGCAACAAATACATGCACCTTTAATAAACAACAACAGAGCTTTAAACTTTTAAGTGGTCAAAGGAAATCTTTCTGCAGGGTTTATTGGCTTTATAAATAAATATCACTAAATAATATCACCTGACAACTTCCCTGGACTGGATATAAACGTCCTAAGTACTCTTTAGAGAATGTAAATACTGAGCACAAAAAAACAGGATTAGAATGAAATTTATATGCCAAAAGCAAACCTAGAAAAGAAAAATAAAAGATCCACAACCAAGGAAAATATATATTCTCAGGTCAAATTAATCCAGGGGCTTTTTTAGGATTTCTATTTACATGTTTGACATTTATATGAATTTAGGTGGCTTCTAAAAAATGAACACAAATCAAAACATTATTAAACAACTATCTAACGCAGCTTTAAACACAGTCAAGGACTGTTTGGGGGGTCATTTCCAGCATTAGGATATACACTCCTCTAAATATTGCTGACAGCCTGATCAAGTGCTTTGTTTCCAAGAACCAGATTGGTCTGGCAGGAGATGCTTGCTTTTCACCTTTACTTGCCCTGGGTGACAAGCATTCTGGCTTCCGTCCCAGCCCCAGACTCGCAGGGCTATGCAGATTTGCTCTGGGGCTTCATGGCACAGTCCTGGACTGAGGCCCCTTACACTCTGCCTGACCCCAGAACACTGCCCTTCCAGGCTTTCTCCTGCTCCTTGCTTCAACAATCGCAATATTTTGGATCTGTAATGATTTCAATTTAATTTTTTAATGTTACTATATGTTTTTAAATTTTTGTGTCATTTCTCCGTATTTGGAATAGAAGGGAGAACTTTTAGTTTGTAATTGGTTATCTTAAACTAGAAGTCTATGTTCTGATCCTATAATATAACCATGTAGAACAGAAATGTGTAGCATGTAAGGATTACTTAATAACTAGTTGGAAATAAAGCTTGCTTTTGCTTGCAGCCCTTCCGTGAGTTTACTTTCTTTCTTTCTTTCTTTTTTAAACATTTTGAATAGGTAACATATGAATATGTTTCATAAACTAAAAACAGATTTTTCTTAAAATCTGGTGTGGTACGGTTTGATGAAAGATGACGCTATTGGGCCTTCGCACTGCAAAAACTAATGTCAGAATCTTTCATTGTCCAAATACCACAGAGAAGACTTTTCCAGTGTCCAGTAAATTAACCACAGGCTAACTTAGAACAGAAGTAGACACACACTCATTTAACTCTTTTGTTTTCACCATGCAAAATGTTATGGACTGTCCTGAAATTCCTATGTTAAAACACTGACCCCCCAGTGTGACTGGATTTGGAAATAGGACCTAAAGGTACTTCGTGAAGGTTACATGAAGTCATATTGGGGAGACATTAAACTAATATCAGGGGTGGTTTTATAAGAAGGGACGAGACATCAGAGATCTCCAGCTCTCTGGGTGTGCACAGAGGTAAAGCCAAGTGAGGACACAGAAGGCCACCTCTAGGAGCCAGGAAGAGAGGTCAAACCAGAAGCCAACCTTTGCTCTTGGACTTCTTGGCTCCATCCAGGGCTGTGAGAGAATAAATGTTTGTTGTTCAAGCCACCCGGCTTTCCCCACTGTGAACCCATTTCCCCCCAGGTCAAGTTGATCTTGTCTTCTGATTACTGGCCAAGATACAAGAGGGGTGAAACACAGATAGTTTTATACTTGCCTATAAGAGAGTGAGATTTGAAAAAGACTTCCAAAAGTTGGGGCTTCCTAAATCCTCCATATATTTCCAAATAAAACCACTGCAATTGCTTAAATATTATTATTTTTTGTTCGATGCCCTAAATTTTATATAAACCTTCAGGCAATAGTGAATATTCAACCCAATTAAATAAATAACTTTTTTTTCAAAATGTTAATACATTTACTATCTACAACTATCTTGAATACTGATAAAAGTACATAACTCACTTTAGGAAACACATTATAGGTCTGTGGTAGGTAGACAGACATGAGCAGAGCAAGGACAATGGGCCAGGTAGAGAAGGTCACCAGGGTGAAAAGCCCCCAGCGCCTAGCAAAGGACAATTGTAGGGTGGGACCTCATCCCCAGGGTGACCTTTCCTCCCTTAAAATATCGCGGTCACGTGGTTTGGACCCCCTGGCCTTTCTTCCCTAGAGATAACATCTCATCCAGGCCTCAGTTTTATTAAAGCTCCAGGCCCGGAAAAGGAGCAAAACTAGACCAGCAACACTACACTGTGGCGGACCCAGGACCAGCTGCATTGAATAATGACCCCTGCCCTGGTGCAAACCAATCCATTAGGGGAGACCCCAATCCTGAAAGGATACCCCTGGAAAGCCAATGAATATTCTATTAAGATCTTCCACTGGGGTAGGGGGGAAAGTTGGGAGGAGAGGATCATTGGGGGGAAAACAGGGGGACATCTGTAATACTTTCAACAATAAATAGTAAAAAAAAAATCTTCCTTTGGGACCTACTCTAAAATCTCTACCCTTAACACTCTTAGGACAGAGGACCTAGGGTGCTCTCTCCAGGGAGTCCCCCGGAGCCTTTCCCTCCCCCTCCTCTTCCCATCCCCTCCAGGTGCTCTCCCATTACCTTCCTCACTTCTAAGCTCCAAGGGCCCTTCCTTTACCTCTATAACTTATTTCCTAAGCCCATTTCTTCTATGAATTACTTCTTTCACCTCTGTGATTTCATAAATAAATGTTCTCTTAGAGTTTGAGTCTTGAGTTTGAATTCTCTCCTAGCCAGAACTCAGGTACTGAGGTTGCTGAACACAGGTCAGGTTTGACCCCACTGGTCTAACACCTGGTGCCTGTCTCGCCACTGCCAACAGGCCAAAAAACATTTCCTACAAGCCTGAGTTTAATCTTAAAAAGATTAACATAGATTAAATTAAAATGAGCCAAAAACTGATTGCTGTTTTAGGCCTTTAGCATGTGAAGATTAGTGTTTATGTTACCATAAAATAAAATCTTAGAAATTTCATTTAAGTTGATTTCTATAAAAATTTTTTAAATTATAAATTAATACAATGCATGTGTTTTTCACTGGGGGGGGGGGGTAAGTGCTAGTTTTAATATATACAAGAAAAAATAATAACATATTTTACTTTTGTACCCAAATAACCTAGTTATGTTATCAAGTTTAAATGAAATCAAGTTTAAATGAAAAGTATGCTTGCTCTGTACTGTTATGGATTAAAATGAAAATTAAGGATGTTCTTCAATAAGATTTTGACTTTATAATCTAGGCTTATAATTAAATAATAAGATCTTTATAATTATTTGGGGGAAAAATTATTTTTTTACTTACCGACAATGTCAGTCATAAGACCTGTAATATTCTCATCGCCGGTGATCCAAGGCCGACTCCCTACCTCATGGCCATAGGCTCCCCTGAAATTAAAAAGGGACATAAACATTCTTAGCTTGTGTGTGTGTGAGTGTGTGTGTGTGTGTGAGAGAGATTTTTCAAATATCAGCATTAGCAACTGGACAGTTGAGAACTCTGTTTTTAACTTGTCATTTTATCATTTCTTTGATTTGGTTTTGCTGGAGTGTAGGGGAAGTTTCCCATTCACTATTTTATTAATTTCTTTTTTTTAGAACCTGATACTTTTTCTTTTTTTGAGAATTATAACATTATTTGAATACTCTACTTGTATACCCGTAGCATATATAGTATCTACACTAAAACATACTTATTTTTTGAGGTTAGAGATTAAAGTGATTATAAATTCAATTATAAAATATAGCTACAATCTGTAAATAAAAAAAAAAGTGTGTGCAATATAACTATAGTTATGATGGCATTTTAGGTAGATAAAGAAACTTGGCAATAATTAAAGCCAAACCTACATCTTGACCTATTTCTAGCAAGTTCATCTACCATATTTCGGCTTATTTTTATTATTCTAGTAAGTCTCCCAGTAGGCATAATGGACAGACAAACAAAAAATAAGTAAGAGAACGTCAACTCTCAAAAAGTTTCCATTCAATGGGGAAGGCAAATAAATACCTTTGAAAGAAGAAATTAAAGCCAAGGGTCAAGCAAGGGTGGGGGGTGGAGGGAAGACGCGGTTACAAACTTGTATTTTAGGAAGCTCCTAATTAATTAGATTGTTCTTAATTTTAAGAATTCAGAAACTATGTAAACATGGAAGAAAGAATACGTGTGTGTTGTTTTGTATAGTGCTGACTGCAAATGAAATTCAGTAATGGCAGAGGTGAGCTGGTTAACCTGTTGTCAGAGGAGAAGGCAGCAGAATATGCTACCACAATATTTCTGGGGTATACTATTGTGTGCTGTAGGCACTTGTAAAACATCAAATGCAGGCAGAGGCTGTCTCTAAACTCCCCACCTGCGCACAGGCAGACCCTCTAAAACAAACTCAGGTTTCATAAATCCCCTCTTTATGAATTTCATCACCCCGAGAAGATTGACTCATCACAGAAGAGGTTAGAAGTCAACCCAGGCCCAGACCAACTCTGTCTCAGACTGCAAACCTCCCACCTATTGTTCATGCGTCCATTCATCTTTCCTAAAAATTATTTACCTTCCCCTTTCCCTTTCCATATTAAGATAGGATTTAAGCCTGAATTCTAAATCACCATGGGAAGCTATTCATTTTTTCCTGGATATCTTCTATGTATACGTGAGGTATACATGTTAATAAATGTGTTTGTTTTACTCTTGTTAATCTGTCTTTTATCATAGGGGTCTCAGCTAACAGGTCTTAAGGTAGGAGGGAAATTCTGTCCTAGGGAGCAGTGGGAAAACCGGAGAAGAGGAGCCCTGTTTTTTAAACTTTACTGATTTTGTTGACTTCAGGTTATCGACAAAAATCCTGAATACTTAACAATTGGCTTTTGCCACCTGCTCTGAGCGAGTTCTAGGTCCCTCCGAGAGATGAGACTATATTTAGTAGAAGATTATTGGGCCTACCTTTCCACTTTTGTAAAAGTAAATGGGTGACAATATGTACCTTAAAGGATTGCCATGAAAAATAAATAAAACATGTAAAACAGACTGCTGCACAGTAGCCCTTTTCTGAGTCTCCTTTTCAAATGTAAATCTACTGCCGAAACTCCTTTCATGGGCAAGTGGTGTGCAACACAATTTTTAAACTAATATTTCAATTACCATATAAACTGAGATGAAGGAAGAGGACTTACTTTGAGAATAAACATAAACTACAAGATCTAAGGAGGAAGAGAAGGGCAATTGTTAGTTATTATTATCCATATTATTATTAGATAGCCGGCAGCTTGGCTCGGTGGGTCTTGACTTCCAATATAAATGCTAAAGACAAAAATCATTATCATTAAATGGTTGTTAAAGGCAGATACTTGGATCCTTTTTTATTTTAATCACACGGAGCTCCATGGCTTTCGCTGATAGCACAATACATCTTATTACATTTAGGTAGTAAAATTCTATGTTCTGCCTCAGAGAATTTATATCTCAGAATATTATGCCACCTACTCCTCACTCTGGTAGACACTGTGGTGGTGGTAATAATCTTTAAGTGTATGTTTCTTCCTGCAATGCTTTTGGCATCTCCGGCCCTTTAAAATATCACACGTGGAGTTGGCTTCTTCATTTTGTCAGGCCACTAGCCTGGGGTAGTAAACTGTACTTAGAAACCGTTACCCAAATAAACTCAAAGTAAAGCGTCCTGTCATTAGAGAGAATTGATGTAGATTGCAGTGCAGTTATAAACATCTGGGACTAGAGTGAAGAAAAATGTATATTGCTCTCATTCCAAACTGCTTGAAATAGTTGCGGCATAGTTGCAATCTTCATTTACAAACACCGGGAAGGAAGAGAGGGTGGGAGAGTGAACTCACTACCGGTGTAGAAGGCAGCTAGGTGAGCAGAGTGGAAAGGAAGGTCCAGGTACTGAAGGTCACCAGGGTGGAAAGCCTGCGATGGGTGACACTGGGCTGGGACCTTGCCCCCAGGGTGACTGACCTTTCTTCCTCAAGTGTAGCACATCACTGGTCATTCGGTTTAGACCCACTGACCTTTCATATTGCTGGTCATGTGGTTTGGACCCTCCCTTGACCTCTCCTCCTCAGCATGACACCAGCCATTCAGTAACCACCCTTAGAGGTGGAACAACGGGGGTGGGAGATACACGCCTTTGCATGACCATTTCCTTAGGCATCACGCCCTAGAGATAACATCTAGGCTTAACTGTTTCAGCTCCAGGTGCAGAAAAGCAGCAAGGCCGGTGGGTGACACCATGGCAGACATGGGGAGTAGCTGCAGGGACTAATGAGCCCTGGGGCTGCCCAGGTGCTGACCAATCAGTGGCGACCAGGATGCTGAAAGGATGAAAAGACACACCTGGAAAGCTGATGAATATTCTATTGAGATCTTCCTCTAGGACCTCCCCTAAAATTCCCACCCTTAAAAGTCCTTAGGAAGGAGGGGGTCCTGCATGTCTCTCTCTCTCTGACATAGCTCTCCCCCTTTTCTTCCCTAGGCATGTATATCCTTGCTTTCTTTCTCCTAAGTTCCAAGGGCCCTTCTTTTGCCTCTGTAACTTCTTTCCTGAGCCCACACAGCCCAGCTGGCTCACTTATTCCAGGGCTTTCTTCTTCTTACCTCTGTGACTTTCTAAATAAACTTCTGCTTATATTTGAGTCTTGACTCTGATTTTTTTCTTAGCCAGATCTTAAGTACCACAGTTGCTGAAAGGAGGTCCAATTGCCATTAACATTCTTGTGCCATTTCTCTGCAAACACCAGGGCATATCGTGCCATCGGGGGGTGTTGTCTGAGATGTTCATGAAGCAGTATTTGCTCATAATATTAGATTTCAGGATAAAAAATCTAATTAAGAGCTGAATAGAAAAGTAGATCCTCTTTGAAAGAAGACTACACTGTAATCATCCTACAAAATGAAAAGTGGCCCTGCTTTTAAAAGCTCTCCCCCGATAAGTAAATAAATATGAATTTACAGTCTTTCTTCATGACATCACAACTTTTTTTTTTTTCTTCTGTGACCCAACTGATGATCACTAACATTGATATCAGGAAAATCTTTGTATATGTTATACCATGTACTCTCATTCATACTGAAAGAGTGGCAGATTATGCCACACTGAAATTTTCCTCATTGGTATAGGATTCTTTTGAGCTGAAGGCACTTGAAAACCAGCAAGTTCATGGAGAGGCTCTCTCTGAACTCCCCCCCTTAACCAGCTTGAAGGCAGATCTTCCAAAAGAAACTCAATTGTCACAAGTCTCCTCCCCTGGAGTTTCACTAACCAGGTAAAACTGAGTCTTGTCACAGGAGAGGAGACTAGACATCAGCATCATGAAAAACTGTCACAAACAATTGTACCTCCCATCTATTCTTCATAGGACTCTTTTGTCTTTCCTAAAAAGCATTACTTTGCCCTAAGTGGCCAACATCTTCTCACTTTACCCCCTAAGATATGTATAAGTTCTCGAATCACATCACTTTTTAAAACTTTTCTTTTTTATTTATTGATGTTTAGGAAGGAGGAGAGAGAGAGAGAGAGAGAGAGAGAGAGAGAGAGAGAGAGACCAATTTGTTGTTCCACTTATTTATACATTCATTGGTTGATTCTTGTATGTGTCCTGACTAGGGATTGAACCCTCAACCTTGCCTATCAGGACAATGCTCTAACCAACTGAACTACCCAGCCAGAGCTGCTTCACTTTTGGGGGGTTGTGGATGAAAAGGGGGCTACATACTGAACCTGACAAGCTCAGGGGAGGCCTGCATGAGGGCCTCACAAGCTCAGAGACCGAAAGTAACCACATCGGGTGGTCTGAAGTTAAAATTTCCTATCTAGATGTGAGTAACAGCAGGTAGTCCTGTCTTAGGCTGGTATCTTTCTTGACAAAGCTCAATCTTTGCCTTAACTGAGCCTGTCTACTGCCTCTTTGCTTTTATGATAATATATTTTTAGAATGTCAGAGTAATCCCCTTTTTTTCCAGACCCCTCAGGGCACAATCTCTTACCAGAATATGAGACCTAGAAACCCCTCATTGTTATCCTGTTCTCCAAATGCCATCTTTATGTGCTGTAAATATTCATTGTTTACTATCTTATACCCACCAATGTAAACGAAATATGTGTCTATCCATTTCACTTTTTATCAATCTCTGGGATTTTCCCACTTTGGTTTCTCTGACCTCCCTAATCTACCACCAATACATTTCATGTAACCCCCCTTACACCTTCTCGTTTGATTTTAATGTGTAAAATAAGGTGCAAAACTGCCATTCTCCAGAGCATGTTCTTAATCCATTGAGATTTTGCTTCTCGGCAATTGTTGTCGCTTTGATTCAAACAAACTCATAAAAATTCTCCACAGGTTTGTCCCTGGCCAGTGGCTCAGATGGTTGATGCGTTGTCCCGTACACCAAAAGGTTGCGGGTTCAATTCCTACAGAAAGTAGTCGATCAATGTTTGTTTCTCTCTCTAAAATTCATAAAAACACATCCTCGGGTGAGGACTGGGAAAAAAAATTCTCTACAGATTTGGATGTTGCCTGTGTCAACAGGATATTTACCATTTTCTTCCTCTGTGATGCCCTCATGCACATGGTATTAAAAATTAATAAAGTTTTACACCTTTCCCCCCGTGATTGTTCCTGTTGTCAGTTTATTTTATATACCCAGATGTCAAACTTGGGAAGATAGAGGGAAAGTCTCTCCCCCCCTACAACACTGTTGTTTTAAGGAAAGGGCACTTAAATTCAAGGAGACTGCAGTGTCTGCAGGAGTGCACCGCTCCGCGTCTCACCGGTGCCTTCGCGCGCACCGCCATGGAGGGGGCCACTGTCTGCAAGTCAGACGTTTGTTCATGCTATGAAATTCAGTGAGCTATTTTCTTCTTTAAATAATCCTACCTGAAATATCAGAGTTCTTAGCTGAATCCCTATAAAGACAAAACTGGCAAAACTTTACTCCTATGTAAAAGAAAGAAAAACATTTAGCACACAGAAGATCTAAAATGTTGGGATTATAATTTAGGGACATAACATACATTTCTCAATTTACAATTTTGCTCTTTAAGGCTGGCATACGGTTCCCTTCTAGCTGAACTTTCCACTATTATTATTATCCCCTGCTCTTCTCCTTTAAATAATCTAGCCCATATGTAAATGTTTAATATAAAATATTCTTAAAAAATTATTTATGCTTATTGCCTACCCATGCTAGCTGACCCAAAAGGTCCAAGCATATTGATCTGGTTACTTCTTATTGTTATAAGAACATTTTGTAGATAATTATTATATATCAAATAAGTGAAATCACCCTAAATATTTTCTGTTTCAGAGTATTATCTACGTATTGTCATTTCATAAAACAAATACCTTCTCCAAAGTAAATGTTATTAATCTAATTTAAAAATCACATGCCCTGGCCAGTTGCTCAGTGGTTAGAGTGTCGGCCTGTGGTCCAGAGAGACCCAGGTTCGGTTCCCACTAAGGGGATGTACCTTGGTTGCAGTTTGTCCCCGGCCCTGGTTGGTCGTGCGGGTGGCAGCCACTTGATGTGTCCCTTTTACATCAATGTTTCTCTCTCTCTCTCTCTTCCTCTATCTCCCTCCCACTCGCTCAGAACAAAAAATGGGAAAATGTCCTTGGATGAGGATAAAAAAAAAAAAAAAAGAAGAAATCACAGAGGTGAAAAGGATATTAGGAAAAAACAACGATATGCTTTTAAAATAATACAGAGGTATGTTCTGTATTTTCAGGTTTGACTTGAATAACTTGAAGTTTTAGAAGAAATCACTTGGGTCCTGAAATATTTCAAGCATGCCTCTATTTTTGACCTTCCTTTAGTATGTGAATCAAAGATGGTGCCGTATGAATTATAAGATCGAGTTACATTATAGCCAGTGATGGTTTATTTTGTACATAGGTAGGTAGTATACCTGCCATAGGGCTATAAAAGATGAAATCGTAGAAAATGACCACCATGAGCCAAATGGAATTTCCTACCTTACAGGTCATGGGTGGCCCTCGGAAACTTGATATCATTATCCCAGAACACTCTTTCAGTTCAAGCACTCTCATTTTTATATTACCATGAAGATTTAAATTGTTAATATTATTTTTTCCTGTTAAGCGATTTCAATGTTACAACAGCCCACAAGAGTGGCATTAAGATGACTTTAAACCGAAGCATGTGAACAAACAGCAGCCAAGGAAAGAGTAACTAAACTTAAGAAGAGCTTCCCAAAATACAGCTGCCACTGACCCGCAGAGGGAGGGTGACACAGCACCAGGAGGTGGGAATCCGTTTGCCACCAGTCTCCCTCTTGTAGGGTTTCCAGCCAGGAGGAACACTGCACATTATCATGAGGATGAACAGGCCTGAGGGGACCTTCCATACGTTCCTACCGAAGCCCTAAAACTACCCCTTTTGTTAAGCTGGTGGGTGAACTGCACGTGTGGCTGCTCAGGGGATCACTCCTGTTGAATGCGTCTGCACACGTGAAATCAACTTTCCCCCTGTCCATCTGGAGGTTGTTCACCAACTTGGAGGCCCCCCAAAGAAAGAGCGTCAATTGATAGAATCAAAGCTTTGCTCTGAACAGAACCTTAGTTAGAAAAGGTTAGAATGGGATTCAAATCTAAATATTTAGGCGCAAATAAATAATGAATACTTTTGAGATCAAATATGGGGGATGGGAAGGAGGTCACAGGGGTGCAGTCATGGTCCTCAAATAGCACCGGCATCCATGGGCCACAGGGCCATGGTGTTGACTTGGCCACCCTCACTTAAAACAAGAAAACAAAATAAAACACAAATAAAACAAACTATCACCCTGGCCAGTTTGGCTCAGCGGTTGAGCATTGGCCTGCGGACCAGAGAGTCCCGGGTTCGGTTCCTGCTAGGGGCACATACCACACACACAAAAAAAGAAATAAATGAGTAAAACAAACTATCTACCTAAACTTTTGTTCAGAAGAACTCTTCTTTTTAATTTACTTTGCATTGCTTGAAGCACTAAAATGTACCTCCTTTCTGAATCATCTAATGAAAATTAGGTAAGAGGTTTTAAGGTTATGTAATACTCTATTGTCACAAAGTAAAATGTAAAACTAAAAGGTAACAATAGAAGGGTAAGTGTTATGACAGAGAGACTCTTTCCTTGAAAATAACCAGACAGTTCTTTAGTAAAGTAAGATGGTCATAAGGATATGACTAGGATAACCAGGCAGCATTTAAAAAAAATGTCCAGAGGATAAAAATGCACAATCTAGCTGATTGAATACCCAGAAGGCAAGGACAGTCTCTGAAGTTCAAATTCATTCAATCTAATTCTCTGCTCTCTTTTATATTAAGGCTAAAAATGAATATTAACCAGTTTTATTAACTCTGACCCTCATTTTTAAAACACTAAAACCTGCCAGTGTAAAATGCTTCCTTCCAAGTGTAGTGATACTGATTTTCCAATATATGCATCAAAGTAATGCAGGTAAGGTAATAACAAGCTTAGTAAATGATATAAAATTCTGTCGTTTCTTGTAATCAGTTGTGAACTTATTTTTAACCATTAAAATTAAGAATATTTCAGTTTTCAGTGTTATCTAATAGTTATGGAAGTAAATATTTTCACACTCAGTGTAAACTAACCTTTCCTTTTCTTTATTGTTTTTTTTTTTTTTTTTTTTGAGAGAGGAAGGGAGAGGGAGAGAGATAGATAGAAACATTGATGAGAGAGAACATTGATTGGCTGCCTCCTGCATGTCCCCCACTGGGAATCCGGCCCACAACCTGGGCATGTGCCCTGACCAAGAATCAAACTGGCGACCTCTTGGTGCATGAGTCGAAGCTCAACCACTGAGCCACACCAGCCAGAGTGTAAACTCACTTAAAGGACAGATACTATTCCCAATATGACAGACCAGTGACATAAGGAATAGAGATGGAGAAGACACCGAGTTTCTATGAGAGCCAATGTCTTGCCTTTCAAGTTCTTACATGGTTTGATTTCATCCTTCTCAATTTTTTGCTTGTGACCTTCAGGTTTAGCTCCCTCTTCATAACCACTTTTCAGATTCTAATAATTGGAAAATGTTTAAAAATATTTCTACTTTTCAAAATATTTTAAATATGTGAAAGCTTTTAAATAACATAAAAATTTTAAATAGTTAAAACAATTTTGAAAGTATTTCCAGTTTTAGCTTTATCAGTAGTTACTGGGGAACAATAAGAAGTATATAAATTATAGTGGAGTTGAAAATATGAAACTAATGAAATAGGTATCTTTAAACTGCCTATTAATGCAATGGATATTCTGGAAGGATAATCAGTGTGTTTGGAAAAGTTGGGATTAAAGAGGGTAAGCATTCAGGTATCAAATGACATGAGCTCTAAGATTTCTTCCTGATACATCTTTCCAAATATTAGACAGTCTAGTGTGATTTTTAAAATTTTTGTGAGATGTTGAATGATAGCTATTGAAAGCATACTTACATTTTGGCCCACTTATCTAGTTCTTCTTCCAGATATGTTTTAACCTTTTTTGGTTGAAGGCCAAGAGAATTTCCCAAGAAATAGATGGCATTTTCATCCTTATTCACTAATGATAAATCAACTGAAATAGAAGAAAATATACAAAATGCTTATTCAATTAATTCACATTCTTCCATTTGGCATCGTTAATCCAGCGCAAACAATTAATCTGGTCAACTTCAAGAAGGATAATAAACAACTCCAATTTCTCCCAAGGATAATATCAGGTTCTGTGAAAAATAATTGTTTCTATTTATATTTTAAAATATAACTTACACCTATAGAATCAATTATTGAGATTGCTCATATTTATTTTGCTCCATAAGAAAAATCTAAATGATCAGTTACTCCCAATCATAAATACCCAAAGGAATTAGAAAAGATTTAAAAATAGTATTTTTACAGGAAATATATTAGCCCATCTAGTCAGAGTGGAAACTTACCAGAATTTAGGTAAATACTAACTCTCCAAACTAATTGATATTGTAGACATGCCAAAATAAAGAAAAACATCTAATTGATTATATACCTGTCTCAAGTAGATATATTCAATTATTACATTTTTTTTCGTTCTACGTATCTATATACATATAATATTAAGACATATATAGGCAAAGATTGTTCTATATATCTACCTCTTACTCAAATAAATCAGAATATTAGTGATTTGTCTGTATTACAACTCTCCCCTGACTACAACAAAAGTGGTTCATTAGCAAACAAATCCACATGCCTTAACTGGAAAACCAGAAATGCCCGAGTTTATGACTGTTTTGTACTAAGTTTTCTCTTAATTTTGTGGGAAAAAAGGTACCTTCTGGCTAGTATTTCATTTGAATCATTTAGCAATATATTTGTCTTTACTTTAGACTACCTGATTAAACCTCTCCAGACTTCTTAAGACACACCATTTATTCCAACCTGATTGCTTTTATGGATACTGTGCCTCTTTTTAACTGGTACCTCTTAAGCTTGAACCAATAAAAGAGGTGTAAATATTGTTCACACATTTAAATTGGATTCATTAACAGTTCTTTGTTGACCTTGAGAACAAATATGGAAATATTGTATTTAGAATTCAGGGCTTTAAATTGGAGTATCATAGGTCAAATATCAACTAAGCACTCACGTAAGTACATATTGTGAACAGAAGCTATCCTGTGTGTGTCAGCCCCATCAGTGATCAAGGATGAGAAGGCAACCACTCAGATCTCTGTCCCCGTTGTGTTATTTTTGCTCTTTCATTGCTGATGCTTTTACAGACAAAGAGGTAGTGAGATGCTTTTATTTAGAAAGTCATTTTTAAAGTGTATTCAGTATGAGAGAAAAGCAGAGTTGTAAACTAAATGATCTTGTCTCATGCCAGCCCAAAGTATGACTCATTATGAATTAGCTTTATTTTTTTCACACTTCTGCTCTCCAAACACATTTTACTTAAGACTCATTCATCCATGTGTGATATCTCCTGCAGGTCTCATACTTGTAGGTATTGCAGATTTACCTTCTTCTCTCTCTTCTCTCCCCACCAACACTATCCTGTCCTCCTTTGTCCCCTCCTCCCCCACCTCTCTCTCTCATAACACTGCCAGAATGCCTTCTTTTATTAGATAGAATAAGTTAACAATGTGAGAAAGATAGTTGGGACCTGAGATTGAGAAGAACATTCTCTCACCTTTATACATACCTACTGTACAACTGCCCCCTACCCCATTCCCACGCCAATAACCATGAGAAACAACAGCTATTATAGCATGGTAAGGGAGGAAATACAGAACTCAAGGGACAGTAGTAAAGAATTCATGAGAGTGTTGAGACAGCTGCTGTACAAATAACACATCACATATATAAATGTTACGTTTATAATTACATGGATCAAAGTTATCTTCCTTCTCCCTTTCTCTCCCTTTTACTCCTTACTCTTTATTGCAACCTAGTAACTCTTTTCATATTTCATATATAAGGGGGAAAGGAAATAAGTTGAATACAGCATTCTCAAATTGTGATCAGCTTCTGGATTTTCTTCAATTGTAGTATTCTTTACGCGTTCCCTGAGTGTCTGGGGTTGTTCTTTATTTGTGCTAATAGGATCCCTTTGGTTAGGATGCCAATTTTCTTCTAGACGTTGGGGTCAGCCATGACTCATTGCTTCCCATCCTCAAGATTGTCATGTCAATTGTTGTTGACTGTCACATCAATCATTACTGAAAATCATCTGCTGCTCTTTTATAGCTAGAGTCCAAGTCTAAAGTCTTTTGGAAAACATCCATAAGAATGTTTGGGCTCTTGTTGAGAACATATATCTTACTGTATCAGTGCCAGTGGCTTGGCTGTTACACAGCTCAACATCTTGTGGATTCTGTCAGACAGCTTGTTTAATATGAGTTCATGGCTTTAGGACAGTTCACTTTACAAAGACATTCATCATATTTATTCCTTCTTCCAAGGTCAAGTCTGGATTGACATAAACCAGTCATTCTTGTTCTTCAAGATCTTTTCTGTCTGTTGACTGATTTTTAGCATATCAAGCTTTTGGCGTTCTTCAAAAGGTATATTTTAGAAATTATGACATTCATTGTTTCTTATTTTTGAAGTAGGAGTTGCCAATTTGGGCATGAACTTTAGCAATTTCTCAATAATCCTTTTTGTTTTTCTCTTCCACTTCAATGGACTTTTTACAAAGAACATGAAGTTTACTGCAATCTCTCCCTTTTAAAAATAAACTTCTGCTTGATTAACATGTCATTTTGATGGGTCCCCAAATCTTGATAAAGTCTTCTTTTTTCAACTCTTTTTATTTTAGTGCCTTTATTTATTTTACTTCTGAAAATCTTCCTCCTTTGTATTTGTGTCCATCTGATATGTTTGGGATGAAGATATAAATATTGAGTTTCATTTTTTTCCTCTTAATCTATCTTAATCCTGTCCATATATACTCTAAAACATCATGATCTGAGGATCCTATAAGTTTGTGTGTATTTTATTTATTTTTAGAAAAAGAGAGGAAGGAGGAGAGATATTGAGAGAGAGAGGGAGAGAGAGACATTGATTTGTTGTTCTACTTACTTATGCATTCATTGCTTGCTTCCTGTATGTGCCCTGACCAGAGAGAAAACCTGCAACCGTGGTGTATCAAGATGACACTGTAACCAATACAGCTACCTGAACAGGACCTGATTTTGTATTTAGATCAGATCATTTCCTGCATTTGTTCTGTTAGACCCAGTAGGCAGGATATCCTAGCAGTGCCTAGCCATGATCTTGTTCAAGGTAAGGCAAGGCAAAACTCTTCTGTCAAGAGCCAGAAAACAAATATTTTTGGCCTTGTTCAACATACAATCTCTGCAGCAAGGACCCATGTCTGTCACTGTAGCATAAAAACAGCCATAAGACAATTTGTCAATAAATAAATGTGGCTGTGTCTTCATAAAACTTTAGTATAGAAAATGTTTGCTGATCCTTGCCCGATCTTTCCATCATGACCTTGACATTCACCTGGAAAACACCACTAATGAAATTCTAGCACAGATTGTGCCTGCTGAAAGAGTTCATGAATTTTCTGTCAGTCAAGTCTCTATCTTCTATTCATCCTCCTTGAACTAGGGATACTGTTTCCTGCTATTGACCATCTGTGTTAGTTTGCTCGGGGTTCTGTAACCAAGTCTTACAAGTGGGATTATTAAATGACAGACTTTTATTATCTCACCATGAGGGAGGCAGTAAGGTCAAAATCAAGGTGTTGGCAGGATTTCTTTTTCTGAGGGCTGTGAGGGAAGGGTCTGTTCTAGGTTTCTCTACTTGACTTGTAAACGTCTGGCTTCATTTTCACAGATGTTCTCCCTGCATGTCTCCCTGTTTTGTCTCCAAATTTACCCTTTTTATAAATCATATTGGATTAGAGCCCACCCGAATGACCTCATTTTAAGTTGATTGTATCCATAAAGTCTCCATGTCCAATAAGGTCACATTCTATAATTCTAGACATTAAGACTTGAACACACATACCTTTATGGAACACAGTTCAACCCATAACACCCTCCTTAAAAGTTCACTTGACTGCAAATGGTCAAAAAATTCCAAGAACTCAAGTGTCAGCTTCTACAAACAGGCCTGACTTCAATTAGGCCTTATGTCTTAGAGCCATTTGGCTGGATGGTTCATATCTTGACGAAAGTTGCAATATGGTTGCTATAGAGCTCAAGATTCTGGAAATGTACATGATTGCTTCTGCGTAACAGTTCAGATGCATCAAAAATGTGTATCACTCTAAACTTTATTTGCTTATTCTTTTAGTTTATTTATATGTTCTAAGTCTAACAAAGGAACTAGTTTCATTTATGCAAGATTGATAGAAAAGCTATAAAGTAAATCGAAAGATTTTTCTTTTTACAAATTAAAGAGAAAATCCAGAAATAAGCCAATGGTTTTACAAAAAGTAAAGGTAAGTTCTAAATATATTTAAACTGACTTGTCTATGTAAAAATATATATATATATATATTTTTATCCTCACCCGAGGACATTTTAAAATTTATGTTTAGAGAAGAGTGGGAGGAAGAAAGAGAGAAAGAGAGAGAGAGAGAAACACTGATGTGAAAGAGACACATTGAGTGGTTGCCACCACATGACCCCAAACCAGGGACAAACTGCAACCGAGGTTCGTGCCCTTAGCGGGAACTGAACCCGGGACTCTCTGGTCCACGGACTGACGCCCTAACTGCTGAGCCAAACTGGCCAGGGCTATGTAAAAAATACTTTTAAAAATTAAATTGTTATTAAAAGTAACTCAAATGTTAATGATTGTCTCTGTCACATGCCAGTGTGTATCTCTGATATGTATGCCATGGGATAATATAAGCCAACATTAATTAAATGGGAATGTCAGTGTGTGAAATCAGTCTAAATATTTTCTATCAGAATTGCAGAAATTTAATTCATTCTATATTATTAATATTTATTGCAATATTACTAGTTAGATATTTTTATTAGACTAAAATACTAGTTTGGTAACATATTTTGATATATATTTTTTAAAAATCCTCACCCAAGGATATTCTTCCATTTATCTTCAGATAAAGAGGGAGGA